GCATGAAGTCCATCGCTTCCTTCTTTGGCGCCAAGTGATAGAAGTATTCTTTGCATTGAATAGTACACATCGTAGTGGGTTGGCGCGGTGAAGAAGGAGCCAACTTCCCTGCTGCACTGTGCCTCTGATGCATTGGGTGGCACGTTAAACTCTTTAACGTCGACGTAAAACACCTCGCCTGAATCTCAGCTGCGCGGAAGCTGAAAGGGAACTCAACATTTGAGGATCGAGTTGATTGGACGACCGGCTCCATTCTGTTGATTGGCTGATTTTTAGCGAATCACACGCGCGCTACGGGGCAAGGCCCCCGACCACGACGACCTCCCGCGCGCGGTCACAGACGACTACCTCGACGGATGGTGGCTTGCAGGAGGCTCAATTGCATGCATGTAAACAGGCCTCAAGATGACACGCTGGCTGTTTAGCGACAACGAAGCGTCCAGAGCTCTCGGTGGGTGGATGGTACGTCCTGGGCACATCATTGGCTACATTTTAGCCAATGGCATGCTCGCGAAGCGGTATCGGCCCGTACATGGTGAGGGGGCCACCGTGGGTTTCTCAATTCTGGAAAAGATCGACTTGAAAGCATGGCGATGGAAGCGGAGGCGAAGGACATGCTCGGCGACTGGCTCGTGCGCACCCTGGAGCCGCTGTACGTGGCATGCGAGGACGCGGCCATGACCTCATGCTACGACTAGGTGCGACGCCGACCCCGCGGTGCTCTCCAAGTACGTGCTCGCGCTCGTCCAAAACAACCCGGAAAAGGACGGCCTTCGCGAGACGTGCTTGGCCAAGCTCGACGAATTCCTTGGCGACGAGACGGTCGGGTTCGTCGACCGGCTCTTTACCTCGCTCCGGTCCAAGTCGTATCTTCAGAAGCCGACGCCCGCGGCTGCAGCGCCCTTGCCGCCCGCCGACCAAGATCGCGCGGCCCGGCCACGCGACGGCGAGGAAGAGCTCGACGACCGCCGCGCCAAGCGCACACGCCGGTCGCGCTCGCGGTCCCGTGATCGCGATGCGCGCGACCGCAAGCCCCGTGGCGAGTACGGCGGGCGCTACGAGCCGCCGCACGACGGCCACCGCGACATGATGGGACCTCCCGGCGGTCGGGGCGGGCCCATGCCGCCGCGCGGGCGTCGCTTCGACAACTGGAACAACATGCCGCCGCACATGGCGCCGCAGCAGCCGTGGGGCATGTACCCTCCGCGCCAACAAATGGGCTACCCGCCCCATCCGATGGAGTACGACGGCTTCCACGGCGATCAAAACAACCAGTACAACAACAACGGTCGTCGCAAGGACAACAGTAGCAAGGAGAAGCCCGACCACGAAGCCGCGACGCTCCGCGTCGACAACGTCGACCCCAAGTACATCAACGTCACGAAGCTCTGCGCGCACTTTGGCAAGTTTGGCAACGTGGTCAATGTCCAGATGCGCCCGCAGTTTCGGTGCGCCTTTGTGCAGTTTGCGACACCCGAAATGGCCAAGCGCGCGTTCCACTCGCCCGTCCCCGTCTGCAACAACCGGTTTATCCACGTGCATTTCGCCAAGCACGCGCCCAAAGACCTCGGCGACATCCCGCCCGAGAACGCCGACCCCGAGGCGCGGCGGCAAGAGGTCCTCGAGCAGGGCAAGAAGGTCCTCGAGGAGAAGCGCCAGCTCTTGGAGCAGGACAAGGCGCTTCAGGCCCAGCGCGAAACGCTCATCCAGAACCAGCTCACGCAGTACGAGCTTCTCGTGTCGACGCTCGCGGCGAAGAACATGCTGCCGGATGCCGAGCGTGCCAAGATGGATGCCAAGATCGCCGACCTCAAGGCGCAACTCGCCAACCTGCAGAACCCGCCTCTGCAACGGCTCCAGCAAGAGCTCCAGGCGCTCGAGCAGCAAGAAAAGTCGCTCGGCACCAAGCCGCAGTGGAAGAAGCGCGTGATCGACAACCGGACGCGCTGGGTGCAGCTTACGACGCTGCCCGAAGCCGCGCGCGACAAGAGCGTGCTCGAGCAGCACTTTAGCCCGTACGGCGCGATCGAAGCTGTGGTCGTCGAGGGCGAGACGGCGTTTGTGCAGTTCCAGGAGCGCTTTGCCGGCGAAAAGGTACTGCGATCGCATGGGAGAACGACGAGGCGCCTCATGCTCGAATCTAATTGTAGGCCATGAAGTTTGGACAGACGTACTTGAATACAGCGCTGACGATGGCGTGGAGCGAGCAAGGCCCGGCGCCGACCGAGTCGAGCTCTGCGTAGACACAGCACACTACTTATAGTAATACAGCGAGGAGACCTTTGAATACCATACCATCTCCGATCTTGACGACAGACCAGGATACGAAGAGCAGGAAGAGCATTGGATTCTCGTTGCGACCCCACTCGTGCCCCGGCCCACGACAACGCTGTGCTCCTTCCAACAATACGACGCGAGCCGACCGCTGGCCGTGGCTTGAAGCGTGAGGCTCATACAGTTGGTCGCTTTAGCTCGTATGCAGTATCGAGCGCCATGGCCGCGACGAGCAACGACGCGTTGCAGTCGCCAGCTGCGAGCATGCATCCTCGGTGGCACGTCCAGAGTTCGAGGTGCCGGTTCAGGCGACTCTATCCGGATGCCACCAAGATCGCAATTCACTCAATCCACGTTGAGCAAGTCGGCCACGTGAAGCTGTCTTCATCCTGCACCGTGACTATTACTGTAGCACTAAGATGGGATTTGGCTCACGCATCTACAAGAATCAAGACGTACGCGTACGACCCAAGGGCCACGGACGACCAAGCGCGTGGGAGGTCGACTCTGCGCTGGAAGAGAGCTACACGATGGTTCATCGATTGTCCACATCGTCGCCATGGGCCGTGGCGTCGCCCTGTAGAGCGATCAATGCATGCTGTGCCCTCACCACTGGACCGGCCACTGACGCGTTGAACGTCGCATCGCTGGCGCCGCCATCGGTCGTGCCTCCACGGATCTTTGGCCCGAGTTTGACCAATCCCGAGCGCCGCTGCCAGACAATTCACTTCAACCCTTTCTGTGCACCGGGGCACATGAACCGCACCCTTGGTCGCATCGTCCATCGACGACTGCGACAAGACCAAGATGAACTTATCGATTTGTGTATGTTGTGTCGTTGCAGGCCGCTACGGCTAGCGATACTACTAGTACACTATTGTGCAGAGTTGATGTCCATTCATGCAGCCATGGCCACGCCATCGGCACGACCTAGAGCTCAGATTTCCCACTCGCATTTGCACCGCTGAGATCACAGTGTGAGCGACGTGCCACGGACGAGGTGGCATGCTTCGACGACGAGCGCTCGACACTGGATGCTACTATCGAAGCTACTCCAAGCTCGACTCCAACCTCGATCGACTAAAACACTGAATTCGACTCGACGAGCAATGGCGCGTTGGCCATGAACCATATACAGCTAGAACACCTCGTGTCTGCAGCGTCGGCGGCGCGCGCCAGGTGCTTTCCACGACGCACAGCGCCAAGTGGCGTGTTTTTAGCGACCAGACCCCGGGGCACAATTGACTGCCACTTCGCTGGGTGATCTATACATTGGCCAAGTGTAAATTTTTGTGCGGTCTCGGTCCTTGTTTTGTATTTGCCCCACAGCGCGCAACATCATGTCGGTGGTCTTTGGCGATCAAGAGAAGGAGTCCGACTACGGCTACGTCTACAAGGTGTCCGGCCCGCGTACGCTGCCTCCATGCGCCGGCGCCGATGGCTCATCCTCCTACCTCCGTAGTGGTCATCGCCGAGAACATGCACGGCGCGCCATGTACGAGCTCGTGCGCGTCGGCCATGACAAGCTCGTGGGCGAAATCATCAAGCTCGAGGGCACGAACGCGTCGATCCAGGTCTACGAAGATACCTGTACGTACTAGGACGCGCCCTATCGCGCTGACCATATACACTAGCGGGTTTGACGGTCGGCGATCCCGTCGAGCGCCGTCGCCAGCCGCTCTCGGTCGAGCTCGGCCCTGGCATCGTCGACAACATCTTCGATGGTATCCAGCGCCCGCTCGAGTCGATCGCGAAGCTCAGCCAGGACGTGTACGTCCCGCGCGGTGTCGACGTGCCGTCGCTCAACGCCACCAAGCAGTGGCGCTTCACGCCGCTCAACTTCCGCGAGGGCGACCCGATCTCGGGCGGCGACATCTTCGGCCATGTGCACGAGAACGACATCTTGCACTCGCACAAGATCATGTGCCCGCCCAACGTCTTTGGTACGGTCGTCAAGGTCTACGGCGCCGGCACGGACGGCAACGAGTCGTTTACGCTCCAGGACACGGTCCTCGAAGTCCGCGACGACACGACGGGCAAGACGCACGAGCTCGGTCTCTCGCACTTTTGGCCCGTGCGCAAGCCGCGCCCCGTCGTCGAGAAGCTCGCCGGCAACGTCGCCCTCCAGACGGGCCAGCGTATTATCGACGCGCTCTTCCCGTCCGTGCTCGGCGGCACGTGCGCCGTGCCCGGTGCCTTTGGCTGCGGCAAGACGGTCATTTCGCAGGCGCTCTCGAAGCACTCGAACTCGGACATGATTGTGTACGTCGGTTGCGGCGAGCGCGGCAACGAGATGGCCGAAGTGCTCTGCGACTTCCCGGAGCTCACGATGACGGTCAACAACCAGGAGGTGCCCATCATGAAGCGCACGACGCTCGTCGCCAACACGTCCAACATGCCCGTCGCGGCCCGTGAAGCCAGTATCTACACGGGTATCACGCTCGCCGAGTACTTCCGCGATCAGGGTACGTACGTCCATGCTCCTCCATCCTCTCTCACGCGACACGCTCTTATTAGGTATGAACGTCAGTATGATGGCCGACTCGACGTCGCGCTGGGCCGAAGCGTTGCGTGAAATCTCGGGTCGTCTCGGTGAAATGCCTGCCGACTCGGGGTACCCGGCGTACCTTGGCGCGCGTTTGGCGGCGTTCTACGAGCGCGCCGGTCGCGTCTCGTGCCTCGGGTCGCCGAAGCGCGAGGGCAGTGTGACGGTCGTCGGCGCCGTGTCGCCGCCGGGTGGCGATTTCTCGGACCCGGTCACGGCCGCGACGCTCTCGATCGTGCAGGTGTTCTGGGGCCTCGACAAGAAGCTCGCGCAGCGCAAGCACTTTCCGTCGGTCAACTGGCTCATCTCGTACACCAAGTACATGCGCGTGCTCGAGCCCTTCTTCAACAAGCTCGACCCCGACTACTCCAACTTGCGCACCAAGTGCCAGGAGATTCTCCAGAAGGAAGACAACTTGCAAGAAATCGTGCAGCTCGTCGGGAAGGAGTCGCTCTCGGAGGACCAGAAGGTCGTCATGGAGGTTGCCAAGATCATTCGCGAAGATTTCTTGCAGCAGAACGCGTTCTCGGACTATGACTTTACGTGCCCGCTCGTCAAGTCGGTCGGCATGCTCCGGTCGATTATCCTCTTGCACAACCTGTCGCAGAAGGTGATTGCGGACTCGCCGCCGGACGCGCGCGTGACGTGGGCGCAGATCAAGGTCTCGCTCAACCCTGTCATCCAGAAGATCATCCAGACCAAGTTCCAGCTGCCCAAGCAGCCCGAGGACCAGATGCGCGGCTTCTTCAAGAACCTCGACGACGAAATCGAGGCGGCTTTCCAGTCGCTCTCGGACTAAGCGATCGACGAGTAACAACGGCGACGGTCAATATATCTCCTCCTTGTGTTTTGCTACAGTGCCGAGCTCGTTGAGATGTAATACTACTTTGAGAACGGCGATTGCACTGTGTTGAGCTTGAGAGAGCCTCGACGCACCAGGAGCAGCTTTGCGCAGTCAATCGTGTCGAGCGCGCGCGAAAAGTCGATACAAAAAACTGCTCCTCGTACTGGCGGATCCGGCCGCGCTGTTGGACCGCTTACGGCATTGAGCAGGTGTCCTGAACTACAAAATAGGTAGCAGTACAAGGACGCCTTTCTCCGCCTGCGGGTGATGCTGTCCGGGGTCGATGTTTTGGTCGCCGCTCTCGCCGAGGGCTGCCCTCGAAAGGCTTTGGCTCTGCCGCGACGACACCGAGGCCACGCCAACCACCGCTTCTAGGCGTCCCAGACACCGTCTGTACTTTTTTCAAAGGCCTCGCGACGCTTGGCATGAAGGTCCGCTGCGCGCTTCGGACCAAGACCTACTGCGCTCGCAAGTGGAAAGGGCGGCGTTTTGGTTGTCCCGTACCCATAATAATGAGCATTGGCTTGCTCCCCTCTACGTCTATTACTTGTTGCGCTTGGTCGCCAATGTCGCGTTTTCTTTCTTCGCCACGATCTCTCGCAGAGTATCGGAGGTGGTAATAATTGCACAAGCAACTTCTGACGCGGTGTTTGGCGTGGCCCAAGGTCCCGCCAGCGCCGATGAGATGGATGATCCAGTCAAAGCGCACAAGGCTTCTTGATGGTCATATAGTGCTCGTCTTCTCGACCTCCAAACATTGCGCTCGCGTCGGGCAACACCATGTGCGGCGAGGCTCGGTTGTGGATTTGCAAACTGATCTCGCTGAACAGAGCAAACATTGAAGACGATATAACGACTATGAATTGCGACCGTAGAAAGCAAACGAAATGTCGGCGTTACCACCCCTTCTTCTACTCGCCTTCTAGTAGTAGTAGAGGAGGCAGTCCGTTGGCTCGTCATCTTTTTGGTGCAGTTCCAGCTAACACAAGGTTACAACAAAATGCGGCAGTGATGGCGGCTACCGTTTCCCAGGCGCTGTCACGGAAGCGCGTACAGGTCTTGAGCAAGTCGACGTCTTTCACCACATCGACAAAGTGATGGCTTGCAACGGGGCCTTCTTCACTGTAATGAGCGACGCTCTAGACGACATGCAGCCACGTCGAGTTGATTGACCTAGCAATATGCACCTACCGCGAGGTGGTACCGGTGCACGGCAAGCTGTGTGCCTTTGGAGGTCATGAGCGCGTCCAAATGTAGCACCGTCGGGGCCAGTACTGGCCAATGCCGCTTGACGTTCGACGCCGTCCGAAGCGGGACCTTGAGCGCGAGGATCTTCGGCATGCAGACCACTGTTGTCGTGCTAGTGAGTACCCTGAACCAAGTACAACGGGGGCACTTAAGCGTATGGTTGACTGGTTCAAACATCTACATCAACGTTGATCGCATTGCTTCGGAGAGCGTTGAAACGTACCGACGTGAAAAGGTCCTGCGCATTCAGTGGCGTCTCGGGCTCGGTGTCCTGAGCTGTGAGATCGACTTCCTTACAAGCGATCTCCTCGGTCCATGGAGTGGCAATGGTTGCACTCGGTCTCCTCCAATAGCTTCAACTCTAAGAGTTCGGTGGGCGGCAGGGGCGCACTCTCCAAGTACTCGGACCACTCCTTTTCGGTCCAGTCGCTTTCGACCACTTCCTTCAACATGGCGACCATCTCTTGGGGGAGCGCGTCCAGCAAAGCCAACTTGAACTTGCTCGCGTGATGCGGGTGGCTTCTACAAGACAGGGAATGGGCCCACGGTTCGTTGCAGAGATCGTTCCGCACCCGACGTCGTCGTATCGCTTCGGCGCGACCCGTTGCTCGATCTCCCGCACATGGATGACGCCGCGACCTTGCGCGACACTTTCGACCGACTCGATGGCACACAGGGCTTGGAAAGTGAAGAAGGGAGCTTCTTGGTAGGTTTCGCCACCTATCATGGCCCATCACTGCACCACCTTTTGTCACTCGGCATGTGGGTTTTGCACGCGTCACTTCAAGGGAGTAGCCCTTGGTGATGACGTTTTCCCCAAGACCAGCGAGAGCCGACTCGCACACCCACAGCCAACCGGTTAGCTAAACCGGCTAGCTCAGCCGGCTAACTCAGCCGGCTAGCCGTTTCCTGTCCCTTTCAGACAGTTGCAGGTCTGTCGTCCTACGACAGTCTTGCGCCATCCAGCCGAGCCCCCAAATCGATGCGAGCCACCAATCCCGGCTCCTCAGCTCCGCTAATAAACACCGAGCCTGGTCAGCTCACTTCTTTTTCTGGTTTCTCGACCACAAGTGCTTTCTTGGTGTTCTTGCCCTCGCAACTGGTTATAGCCACCATCCACGCTTCCTCTGCTCCCAACGCCGCGATCCTCGCGGACCAGCTCTCCACGCTCAACTCGTGGGTCGTTGCTGCCGAGATGATCATGACGCAGCACGCTCTTCCGGCTGGCTGCGCCAACGACGCGACGATGGAAGACACGCGCTCCAACCTCGCGGTACGTCTCAAGGCCACCACCAACGAGATCAGTCGGCTCCGTACGTCCACTGCCATGGCTGAGGCCGTCGCCGCGGCTGCTTCTATGGCTCAAGCGCCCGCCAGCGCTGCGACTCCTCTCGCCTCGGACGATGGTACGGTTCCCTCCGACTCTGGTGGTGATGGCTCTGCTCCCGCTCTCGCTCCCGCTTCTACTCCCGTCTCTGCTCCCGACGCGGGTGGTCTCGCGCGCACAGTGACGAACACTGTCTCGTGGCCCGCTCGCAAAGGGAAGATCGGCTCATGGAAGCCCAAGAAGTCCAAGTATCCAGTATACTCGTACCTCCAAGCCTTGGCTTGGAGGTTTGAGTACACTGGGTACTTGGACTTCTTGGGCTTCCATGAGCCGATCTTCCCTTGCCATATACTTCCGTCTTTTATCTACTATGGCCAAGTAAAAAATAGATAAACGATGGATAAAAACGTTTTTTATTATTGGATATTTGAGAAAATACAATTTTTGCAACTGGTCGGGGTTCGATCCCCACTCGAGAGCGGCCTCAACCGGGGAAAAAAGGAGCGCGTCCGTAATATCGGCGGCTTCGTCAAAGACATCCAGCGCACGCAGTAGCTGCGCTTCTTCTTCGTCCTCAACAAGCTCTTCATCGGAAATAGCGTTGTTGTTGTCTGGCGCCGTGAGCTTCAAATCGGCTGGCGCAGTGCGTCACGGCGCATGTACTCGAGGAAGAATGGGACGGGTGAAAAAAGGAGAACGTTGGTCACAGCACGCGACGCACGGCTCGTGGCGCCGTCGATACCCAAGACACACGCCGAGCTTGAGCGGACCTCGGCCAAGACCTGGTCCATGGTGTGGCCGTATGCCTGAGTGAGATATTGGTTGCCGATAGCTACCGGCGCCGGCATGACCCACGCCGGGCGTAGAGAAGCAAAGAAGCGCTCCCAAGCCGGCGTGTCATGCGCTTCGAAGCTCATGCACGACTCGTGCACCGCGATAGCAAACAGCAGCTGCGAGGCTTGTGCTCGGCCACCGTCACGATGTCGGACGTTGCGCCGAGCTGTTGCAAAAACTGCTGCCGAGCATCCAAAGGCGTCGCTTCGTCCTCCGAGTCCTCCAGAACCACGACATCTGGGTCCAGCTCAAATGACATAGACGAAGCAGAAGACAAAGAAAGTGTCGAAGAAGACGGTAGAGACGTCGGGTTAGTCACCTGCGGTGCGGGGCTTGGAGCAGCACCGTGACGCCCAATCGATCAAGGAGCCGCGTCGCAGTTGGCGAGGTGGGTGCGGCAGTTAGTTGTCGAGGCCGAAATATCGCCAGAGCAGTACAAGCACTTCGCGCGCATAGTCTTTGCACTATTGACACCAACCACTGCGCCGACCAAGCCGTGCCAACATCCTGAAGCCGCTACAGTAGCTGACTGTGAAGCCGCTGTCCACCATTTCGTGTTATCCGGTATCTCCGGATAACCAAGCAATGAGGTCACTCGTGTCATCGACGCCTGTGAGAGTGCCACGTCACGAGAACGAGTAAGACAATGTGAAAATATTAAATATGAAAAAGTAGATGAAAACGTTTTTTTAATAGATGAATGAAAACGACTATTGAGAATCTCAATAGTCGCCACAATCGCCGCGAGCTTCCTCGGGAACTCTGGTTGCGTCGGCATCGTGGGCTTGGCGAGGTCATCGATCGTCTTGGTCGGCGCGTCTGTCGAGGACTCCCGTAGCGCCTTCTTCATCTGAAACTATATGACGTGCTTCTTCTTGTCCGACACGTCGGCGACGGAGCTTGAAGAAGCACGTCATAAAGTTCCAGATGAAGAAAGCTTTATTGGAGTCTACTTTCAGTCTACAGTAGCGGGTTGGACGCTGGGTCACCACCACGTTGGCCCGGGTACGAATCCCCGTTAGAGTGGCAAAGCAAGCCGAAACCCGTGGGCCTCTTCAAGCAAACCCGCTTCGTAGACATCAATTTTGGTACTTCCACTCAGCACAGCTGCTCATTGATGGCAACATGCCACTAGCGGCCCAACAGCACGGCCGGATCCGCCGTACGAGGAGCAGTTTTTCATCGACGTTTCGCGCGCGCTCGACACGATTGACTGCGCAAAGCTGCTCCTGGTGCGTCGAGGCTATCTCAAGCTCAACACAGTGCAATCGCAGTTCTCTAAATAGTACTACATCTAAACGAGCACGGCACTGTAGAAAAACACAAGGAGGAGATATATTGACCGTCGCCGTTGTTACTCGTCGATCGCTTATAGTCCGAGAGCGACTGGAAAGCCGCATAAGCGATCGACGAGTAACAACGACGACACTTCGTCAATGCATGCGTTTCAATTCAGCGTGGAAAGGAAGTGATGGAGCCAAATGTCACGAAAATCGATTAACGTTACGTTGGTTTTGAGAGCCCAAGTTCTGTCGTGGATGGAACTCTAATTTCAGTCGCGCGCTCGCGCATCTTCGTCCGCATAGCATTCGCCGTATCGTGTGTGACTTGACGGTGCGTCTTCAAGACAATTGGAGCCGCGATGGAACCGGGCGGTCGTGGATTTTGCATAGCTATAGAGCACGGCTTGCATGTCATGCAGCATGCGGCACCCGCTGTCTGCAGAGGGCTCCGTGTCGCTGCGATCCCAGCAGCGCATCCGTACGAACTCGATGTCCGACCAGGCTACCTGGTTCGGTTCCTGCGCGTGGACCATGCCAAGAAACGTCTTGAGAGTGCGGTAGACGCCTTGCACTTCGACCTTGTCGCCTTGGACGGCGCCGAGGACGTAGACGTTGATGCATCTCGTTACGCGGCAAACGTCAAGGCCCGTGATCAGGAAAAGGGCCCACCGATTGCTACAAGACAGTGAGTACAAGCACCATGGCGATACAAACGTACGCGAGTTCGAGGTGAACAGGGACGATCCAAATGCGGTTGCCAAAGAGCTCACGGCGCGTATACCAGCGCATGGCCCCCGCCTCGTCGATGGGCATGAACGGGGTGAGCACGGAGTAAGCAATCTTAAAGGTAGAGCGCACCGACGCGATGGGTTCGTCGTCCTGAAGCACCCTGCCGTAGACATGAGTCGCGCATTGCACGCCGGACGCCACGTTACATGGTTGCAAAGTTGACGAGCTCCGGGCTGAGGTCTCGGTCTGCATCACCGAGGATGTCCCAGTCCCCGTTGTACAGCAAGATGGTGTTCTCGGTCACAGGGCCCTCCGGGTATATACGCCAGATCGCGTCAGGGTTGGTCATTCTCGAACGCTTTTCGGCTTGTGTGGACGAGTTACATCCGGCTGGGGTTGCACTACAACTGGAGAGGGGGTAATAAAATAATAAAATAAGATTAATCCGACCACTTGACATTTCTATGCATTTTTTTGCGAAACGCCGGTCGGCGACAGAAATGTGTTGAATGTTGTATGGAATAATTCAATGAAATGGAGGACACGGGCAGCTGGGTGGTGAATCAACGGACTGCATCAGCGATCGCCACGCACGGCACATCGGGCATGTTATCTTTTGGCGTCTCCCGCGACGCTAATTGGTTAAAACGCTCCAATCATCGCTGTGGATCAGCTTTTCCGCTTTTTCTGCATTAACATGTGGGCTGCGATTTGCGGCTGCGATGACCTGGCGTGCAGACGACGTAGAAGCTCTCGTCTACGATGCTACAAGTACTTACTATGTGGGCAAGATAGGAGGATGTCTTGATATGCATCATCCTGTGCTTGCGCTTCTGTGTAGATACAGGCCATGCCGGCCGTGGTATGGACCGGTGCTCGCTATTAATAGTGATCGATGCGGTTCAATCCTTGGCCACGAAACCTGATGTACCCATCTTGCTCCATCTTTGTGGCAGGCGAATGGGCCAAAAGATTCGACCCGTTTGAGTTGCCACACTCTGATTATAGCCGCGATATATTTTATTTACATCCTGATCGCGTTAGGGTCGATTCAGAGTAACTCTGGGCCAGCGGCTTTTGAAATCACCAGATGCTGTGCAGAGTAACTTACAGCGACTCTCGGACATTGAGGTGCGGCTCTCGGCTGCTGGCCAACAGATGGTCTAAACCATTGCTGATTGGCCAGTTTGAACTTCCCTCCAGGTCAGCGACTCCGGGATCACGCTAGCTCTGATGCATGTCATTGGTAGAAACTCATTTTTAGGTCGCATTGATTGGCAGTTTAAAATTATTGTTTTGATTGGCTGAAAAGCTAGCCGCCACCAGGGGCCAATAGTGGAGTTTAATACAGTTTTTACAGTGAAGCAGGCACTTGAATGAAACACATAATATGCTCTCTATATAGCCGGATGATGTTTAAATCAGTCATAAAAACGTAGTGTTTTATACTTGGTGGTAGGGCGTGCTTGAAGGATGATGAGCATGCGTGCGGCGGCGGCGACGAGGCGGCGACGACACGCCTTCCCAAGAGCGCTTTACCTCAGGCAGGGTGGTGGACGCATCCGCATAGATAGATCCGCCCTCCAACTACGATAGCAACTACGGATATCGCTATTCTCTTGGCGCGCGTCATGCTCAGCACACTGTCAAAGAGACGACG